ACCCCTCGTCTGTATTTCTAAATCTCTTCACTAAGTAGCCAAGAATCAACAAACTTTGACCTCAAACTGACGAAAAATCATTGACACTGACAAAAGGAAAACTGCATATTTCCCCCCAGACTGAAGCTGCTCCAATGCAAAAGGATCGTGTAACATTTTCAGATACAGGACTGAAGAGCATAGAATGTGCAGCAGCCAGTTCTCTGTGCCTTGTTTAGGCTACCTAAAACTCCTTGTTATCAGAATTCATTGTGCGGCCAAATCTGTCCCATAAGGCAAGCAGCTCCTCTCTCATTTATATAGGCCAGGATCCAGAAAGCCAGTTCACGTAAGGCAACGTTAGATTTGTGACGCATGAACATCAGCCTCCTTCTTGCCCTGCCACAAGGTACACTCAAAAAAAGTTGCAAGCACTCTGTCTGTGTGTGTGTGTGTGTTGTTTGAAGGGAGGAAAGGGACAAACTTCCCCTCTGGGAGTCTACAAGCCATTGGGCATCCCTAAAGTAGCCCACAGTGTTTGGGTTGTATGAATACTTTGGATGTCTGGAATAAAAGCTGCAATAACTTCTGTTAGTCATTAAGGTGTCCCTGGACTCCAGTTTCATTTTGCTGCAAAAGACTTAACATGGCTACCCCTCTGGAATTTGGATTTTCTGTGTCACATGCCATTCAACTCATTCAGATTGCATCATATTGTTAAATAGGGGGAAAACATTCTACAAGATCACATGTACAACCCCCTCTGTAGTAAGGGGTGAATGTACAAGAAGCGTCTCCAGGAATAGGAAATCCTTTCAAAAGTCGCTCCTCCTGACCCAAACCATCGTTGCTCCGCTTGCACTTTCTAGCCCTTTCTCTGTTTCCAAGAAGTGCAACAATCAGAGCTTGTGTTTACACAGTGCTGCAGGTCTAGTTCTTCGAGGAGCATTCATTTCAGGAATGCTGGACCGTTTCTCTCCTAGACACTTTGAACAGCAACTCGGGACCCTATTCTTTTCCTACCAATGCTGGCAACACAGTTTTGCTTCTGACTCCCCTACCCCGAACCTTTTAAGTATTAGCCGGGATAAATAAATTTTCCTCAGCACATTTTAAGAGATCCAAAGATCCCTGGACACAAGACTGCGTGTATTTTAGAGCCATCATCCACTGTGTACAGTACACACATTTATTTATTTCATTCCTATTAATCCCACCACCACCCCCGCCTTGGTGTTAGTGCTCTGTTTGATAAGGGACCAGGAGAAATTACAAGCGCTGGCTGTTATTCCATCCTCTGAAAACCCAGCCTCTCACAGCTCCAGGGAAATGACCTAGCTTGACAGCAAAAGGCCTTTACCATCTGGCAGCTCACCTGTACACACAGTGAAAAGGCCACTTGTGCAGTTATCAAGTGTGGAACTGCAGGAGTTTCACGCTCCTTCCTACAGGGACAAGCCTTCCATGGAGAAAGAAGGCAATGGTCTCAACCAACACTAATTCTTAACTTCCGGCTGGAAAGCCATACATTTCTCTTCATAAAACCTTCTCCATTTCCTACTTGCACGGAGGTCCACGTGGTTTCCCCCTCTTTGCCAGGGCCGCGCAGTTGGGACCATTTGTCCTCACAGCGAAATCTTTTCTCTCTAGGAATCTGTTCTCTGCCCAGACTTTGGCCATTAGTCCAGCCAAGAACAGTGTTTTATGGGACACGCTAACCGATTGAGTCTGGAGTCCTGAGGTCGCAGATCTGGAGCGGAAGGGGCGCGTCTGGCTTTGGCTGGTTCTCCGCTGCCATTCAGGGTGTGCAGACTCGTCTCCCCCCTCCCCCCTCCCACAATCACTCATCTCTCTGAAGTGAAGGACTCTGATGAGCCCCCGCAGGAGGTCCCAACCCTCCCGGCGTCTTCCGAGACTTTGAAACATGCAAGGTTTTTAATTCCCAATGAAAGCAATCGGCAGCAATTCCACACACACACGCGCGCGCATCCCTCCCTTCGGTTTGATTTCTTTGGTTTTGGACAGGCTCTCTCGCTCTCTCTCGTGCGCGCACGCACACACACGCCAAATGCACCAAACGCCAGCCTTGAATCGGCTCCCACCTTTCCGAATGCACCCTCTCCAAAGCGGCCGAGGAAACCAGCAGCTCCCAGCTGGCTGCAGCGCGACTCAAGAGTAGGATCGGCTGGGTTAGGAGGCTCCTTTCATTCCTCCAGGGCCGGAGAGCGCTTCCACTCCCTCCAGCCTCCGCACATCAGCCTCGGTTTGCCCTCCAAGCAAGGACCATCCAGGCAAGCAAGAAGCGTGTCTGGCGGAATCCCAGGCAGGGGGGAGGGGGCCTGCCGTGGGTGGTTCTCCGCCGACTGAGCTCCAGGGGGACAAAGGCTGGAAATCCGTCTGTCCCTCTCTGCAGCTCCTTGGTGGAGGAGCCGTTACCTTTAAATGCGCCTCTGCCTGAGCGAGCTGGACGGAGCTTGTCCTCTTGGCGCCTTTGCGCAAAAGCGCAGCTGTCCGCCTGGCTCGGCTGTCCGCTTCTCCTCCTCGTCCTCCTCTGTCCCTCTGGCTTGCTTTTTATCGCCAGGAGCCTTGGAAGGCCCTCCCCCTGCTCTTTTACGACACGTTCCAGCTCCCTCGCCAGGAGTGGGGGGGGGGGGGGGGGGGGGGGAGGATGGATGCGTGGAGCTGGCGGAGCGGCGGCAGCCAGATCGCACGAGAGGGGCTTTGGAGGGGATCTCAAAGGCCGCCGGCGGGCTCTTTTCGTCCCTTTGGCACCAAAGAAGAGTCTCCCTGGCAGGGCACCTCATCAGCAGCCGCTTCCTTTTCTGCATGTCGCAGGAGAGGAATCGGTCCCCGATCTAGACCAGCGTCTGCGGGCGCGCCTGCTGGGCGATGTCCGTCCCCCAACTGATGTCTCCATTGATGAGAGTTCAGTGCCTACCCGTGCCCAGCGCAAGCGCCATTCGGGAGGCATCTCGCCCGGCCAGTTCCCTCTCCTCACACCCCCACCGCACCTGGGACTACTGCTGCACCCAGTGGAGAAGCCTGCGCCTGGCACTTGAGGATTAGGCAAGCCGCGGGCCTTGCTGAGGAAAGAAGGGCAGCAGGAGAGGAGTGATGTTTCTCAGGAAACCTCTTGGCCCTCCTGAAAGGAGCCTCCCCCACACCTGCCCCAGTCGTAAACCGACTACAGCCGCCGTTTCCCTGTGCAGCAATGCGAATAATTGCTTCAGGGAGGGACTTGCAGCGGTGGCAGCCATGTTTCTCCTCCAACTTTGATTTGTGGGTGTCATTTTGGAAAAACCGAGATGCTTCAGCCTTGTGGTGGGGAAGGGGAACACCAACACGACTTTCTGGGCAGGCTCTGCTAGGAGGACAGGGATGGGCTCCCACCCCCCACCCCTGCCTCCATTGGACTCTCCCCTGACCCCCCTCAAGCTAGGTTTGCTTTGCCCATCCTGCTATTGGGATCCCATACCCACTTCTTTGTCTGCTTATTACACTGAATTCCTACTTCTGTGGTGCTCACAGTCAGGTTGCTGTTCTGGGCAGGCTGAAGCCTGCTTCACTTGTGCTCTCAGACCATCCTCTGGGCCCAGGGCAGCCGGAGAAAGGGGTGCCTCTCCTGTTGCTTGCTTTGGCAGTGCTGCTGACCTGGCAATGTGGAACGCAGCAGAGGAACCGATAGGGTTCAGCAACCCAGCCCTCTGAGTGCCACCATCAGGTTCCCCAACTGCCAACCAAGAAGCAGAGAGATATGCAGAAGTAGCAACAGGCCACTTTGAGAATGGAGCAAGGGGTGGGTGGCCAACAGGAAGGGGACTTGCGGAATCACTGGGGGCATTCAGAGATGAGTCTGCATTTCTGTCTTCTTCTTTTTGCCTCAGCCTGTGGCTCCAGAGCTTCTGCTTTAGTCACAGGCACAAGGCTAAGCGGGGGCTGGAATGGTTTGCCCTTCTCAGTTTTGTTTTCAAGTCCACCATGCAATGCACAAGTCAGCTCTTCTCTTTCCCCAGAACAGTGTCTGGCTGCAGGTGGGCCCTGTTAGGAGGAGAAGCCCAGGGCAGCAGCTTCCACAGTGCCCGGCTGCGTTTCTCTGCTGCTGATCAATAGCAGTATTGATGGAGTCGGCTGTGCCATCACAAATCAAAAGCTGGTGATTGCTCCGTGAACGGAAGCCTCTGGCTCAGAACCGCAAACAGCTTGTTCCAAGGTTGGGGACAATTTGTGCCTTAGGCCTGGTCCCTGTTGCCCACTTTGGCAGTGTGGCTAGGACCTGGTGCCTTCTGAAGTGCAGGATTCTTGCCTGGAAAATGAGATGGAGGGAGGGATACCATTAGATGAGACCTGTTGAACTGCTTTGGGATGCAAATGAGGAAAGCGAGATGGTTGTGGCAAACAAGTGTGTCCAGAGCACGGACAGAAACCCTTCTATGATACAGAAACTTTACTTTTTGATCTCTGTTGTCCATTCTCATGACAGAAAGCACCATGGTTGTGAAATGAACATGAATGCAACCTGGTACAGTTGTGCAAAAGATCCATAAGAAAATAATACTTGATATGGGTATTTAGGAGCATGGAAAGAGGCCCATTTTAGGAGCCTTGGCAGTCTGCAGAAACTCATTTGAGCAATAGTGGAGAGGGTTTTCCTGTTCTGCATGGAGGCCTCACTCATAAAACGCTGGCTGGATCTCTACAAGCTTCAGGTAATATGTAAAGGAAAGGCTGACCCTGCAGATGATGGTGGAGGCCTGTTTCCTGCCCAGGCCAGCTGGCCAGTGTGAGCTTCTGGCCCAAGGCCAAGAACAGTTTGATCAAAGCCAGTTTGGGGTGGAGAAGGGCTGGTTGGCTCCGGAACCCTGAAAAATCAGTATTTGTGAAATCACAGAGAGTTCTAGTTGAAAGGGAAGCAGCTGGCTTGGATTTCTCACCCTGGGCCGACAGACAAGGCAGCCATAAAAACAACATCAGTCTTTGAGGTCCAGCATTTCTCTCATTAGATCATCTTTTAGATTTGATAGCCTTTGAAATATAAAAACAAACCATAATTCTTGTTACTGAATGCCATAGCCACTCTTAAAGGATCAGCTATCCAAATTAAGTCCTTCTGTCTCTCATTTATTTATTTTTAAATAAAACCTTGAAATCCAACACTGCATTCATAACTGGGAAAGTTAATGGTGGGATTCAAACAACAAGGACAGAACATCAAATTTTCGCAAAAGCAATTTATCATTAGATAAATTTGCTTGAGAGCTCGGGGGGGGGGGGGGGACTGTCACATCTGAGCTCTGAATTTTGTTGCCCCAAAAGTCTCAGTGAAGGAGGTGTGATTGCAGAATTTTGCAGCCGCCTCTTAGCAACAGAATGGAAGTGCACTGGCAGGTCCCTCAGCTAGGAGCGCCTGATCTGTTATTTGGTTAACCAGCCTTGAGAGGGAGAAAGGATCCAATCAGTTTTCAGCAGCAGTTAGCCAAGACAGCAAAATGGAACATCCATGTTCAGAGGTGGTTCCTTTAAATAATAGATTCTTAGCCCAGTACCAGGAGGGCCTTGGTTCTTGATTTGATGTTCAGTGGAAGTGGGTCTGATCCAGAAAGGCAATCATTATAGGAATGTTGTAGACTGGCCTGGGTTTAGCCAAGACCCCTAGCCAGCTCCTGTCCTAAGCAAAACCCTCTGCTATTTAATCGTTCTGAGCCTTTCTGACCCTTTCTGACTATATGTCACAATCTTTTATTATTATTAATGTACAATTATCCAGAGTCCATCCATATTTTCTGTTTGTGTTTGCCATTCCTGGCTACTCCAAGAAAACATGTGCTAGCAGGGCTATGACTCTCCACAGAATGCAGGACCCTCTGTGGGGCAGTGAAACAGAACCTTGGCCTTCCAAACAATAGTGCCCTGTCAAGCAAGCAGGAGTGTTGGTAAACAGACGGTCCCTCCTGTGTAGTAATTTGAGAATGAAGGATCATAGCTCTGTGGGCAGACATCCAGAATCCAGGAATAAGATTCACTTGAGACAAACCTGATTTCATGCCCCAGAAAACTCAGAGCTGAGATCAACATTAGATCATCAAAGGGAGGAGGAGCAGCAGCCAGCCCCCACCCCACTGTGCCAAATCCAGCTCACCTGAGAGTCCCCTTCCTTGAGTTTTCAGTCACTGTCACTGGGGTCATACAAGAGAGGGCGGGATACAGCCAGCCCTGCCTTTGCCACACCTGAATCCAGCTCAGTGGAGAATTCCCTCCCCAAGGAATATTCTGTATGGAACATGAATGATCGTTTGCATCAGATTTTGATTTGTGCAAGGTGAAAAGCAGAACTGAAATACTATAAATAATGTATGGCCATATTAATTTATTTACACATTCCCAAAGCAGCTCCCCAGTTCATATCTGTTACCAAAATCCTCTGAAAAGAGCTACTATAACAAAATAATGAAATTCTAAAATCAGCCCCAGCTCTGGCTCAACACTTTCCCACCATTGCTCTTTGCCAGAAGCTGGTACACAGTGATCCCAGCGCCCACTTGGGAAACCTTCCCCAGCAAATCACTATTTTCAGATTCCAACAGCAGATGTGAATGGTTGTGTTGCACTTTTTATTACTTCTGAAGAGTATGTGTGTAAATTTATAGTACAATCTACTTGCAGATCTTCACTGTCTGAGTTTCTTTGGGTTCTGAGCCTTATTGTATTATTTGTTGTTGTTGTTTTTGACAAGGTTGATTTCAGGGGCATACAGGGCCACTGCCCCCAATTCTTCCTCCCTAACCTTGCTGCTGCTGAGAAAATAAGAAAATAACTCTCTTCCATGATGTTGTTGACCTTGAAGGAAAAGGCTGATCCAGCAGCTGAGACCTGGCTACTGGATCCATCGCAGCCCAGTCTGTACCAGCCAGCCAGGGAAATAGTTTCACCTGGCATTGATTCTATGTGCAGCACTGAGTCTATGTGATTTCTGTTGGGATAGACTTGGGCTTCGACTGTTGAACTGTAACTGGTCATCTAGCTGTCCTGTGGTTTTCCTGGCTAAAGTGGTGGGGAACAGTCTTTGCTTTAGACCGCCTGATTTTATATGCAAAGGGATTTTATAATCCACGCAGAGGCAGTCTGGGCTGCCATAGCCCATCCTGTGCAAAGGTGGAGCTGCCACAGCTTATATTAGGCACTGTGCATGTTGACGTTCATACACTTTTCTGCATTGGGGAGGATTTGGGTGACTGGCGGTATCAATTAGCCTATAGGTATGGCTGGATCATTACTTGAGCAAAGCATGGATTGATCCAACTACCCACCGTTGTAGGAGTGGAGGGCTGGCTAGAAAGAATGCTCTGCCCCTGGAGATGTATGGATCCAACTGGATTCCAGAATACTTGGAGGAAACAGCAGGCAATTGGGCTGCATCATGGTCCTTATGGATGAAAGTTAGCAGGGGGACATGACATGGACCCTCCCCCACCCAACTGTTGGAGATTGAGTTATAATACTGAGGACCATGCCATTCCCCTGAACTGTTTGGAAAATCA